GGTAGTTGTCATTGATTGTTTCGAATAAGCAGGTTGGTAAGTATGTGACATTGGCGACCATACGCTCGGTTGCCAATAGTAAATTGTGGTATTACATAGCATGCAAGAAGTGTCATGTCGTGGAATATATACAAGAAGTAGCATGCATAAAATAAAACAAACATGTCAAATTTCTAATAAAAAAATGTCAAGTTTCTAATAAAACCCTAGAATTCTCGGTTATATATACATGTAGTGTCATGTCGTGGTTTACTCCATTCTGTGCTGCGAACCTTTTTTTTATACCTCTATAATGAATCCATCGGGTATGATGTGTACTATATATCCAATTTGATATCGTTTTGTGTTTATTAAGTTCTGTTTTCTTATTTATATTGGTTGGTAACTTAGATCTAATTATGTTTCGTAGGTGAAAATACACGTGGAAGTGTTAGTCCAAACGTGTTGCCTTTCCATCTTCCTGAATCGGAGATTGTGATGACTGATGAAGGCAAAAATATTGGTTCTAATGGAATATCTAAATTCACGGCTTGGATGAACTGCAACAAAGAATGCCCGTAAGCTAGGATGTTTATGTATTCAGAAATTCCAAGTAAATTTGTTTGGGATCGTAAGCAAAAGTTATGGAGACGACGTGTCATTGGTGACCCTGGAGTCAGCGTTATAGCAGATTGTTCGGATGGATCTGGCGATGCTTATTATCTCAGAATTTTGTTGTCTGTCATAAAGGGCCCATGTTCTTATGAGGATATTAGGACTGTTGCTGGTATCGTGTATCCTACCTTCAAAGATGCATGTCATGTGATTGAACTAGCCAATTTGTAATTTTTATAAGTTAAGCATTAGGATTTTAAGTGATTTATTTTTATTTTTTAATTTAATTCTATATTTTTATATGTCATATTATAATTACTAAAATATTTCTGTTATAATTAATAAAATTACTAAGATTTTCTTTTAATATTGTATTTTTTTTTAATCAAAAAGTCTCCTATAGTTTACCGTCATAATAACAAGAAAACATAGATTTCAGGTTGAAATGATTCTATATTTATAATGTTTATGAATTGATATTTTTTTTATTCTTTCATCGAACGGATTAACCCTGGCTATATATATATATTGCAGATTATTATAATGAAATTTGACAATATTTCTTAACTATTCAATACAATTTTATTTTTGAAAATTTTCGAACGAATATAACATCCTTTGATCCGTTGTAATCCGGAAGGGAAATTTACCTTATCATAAAATAATAAAATAAACTTTTATGTGAAAATGGATCTTATCTATATTTATCGTATTTTTATTAATAAAAAATTGTTAATTTTGGTTAGCAAGAACGTTATATATATATATATATATATATATATATATATATATATATATATATATGCACATACGATGGACTTCCGAGTTGTTGGTTTGGACTCTGTGATGGAGGGGATAGGTAATCATTGTGCTATGCATAAACTAATTATTGTTTTATGTTATGTTTTGTTGTCTTTTTGTATTTTTTAGTGTTCGTTTCGTGTTTTAAACCTTTGTTTTAGTTTTAATAATGATTCGTTGCTATGACTTGGAAGACTAGGTGCTCACAGGCGTCGACGCTTAAAATTGCAACTTTGCCATTTTATCTTCCCGAAAGACATATTTTGTTTGCTAATGATTTAGATGCACATGTTCCGGTTGGAAAAGCTAAGTTCCATGCATGGACAAAGTGTAATCAGGTTTACTCGGAGGCGAGAGATCTTTTGTACTCGGAGATACCTTCTCGATTTGTATGGGATCAGAAAAATAAGTCGTGGAGACCAAGACGACGTGAAAATCCTGGACCATGTGTTATAGAAGAATCACCGATAGAGTATGGAGAAGATTATTATCTTAGGGTTTTGTTAGACGTAGTGAGGGGTCCGTGTAACTTTGATGATATTAGAACATTTGGTGGAGTCGTTTATCATTCTTTTCGAAGTGCATGTCGTGCATTAGGTTTAGCTTATTAGATTTGATAGAATATATATATATATATTTTTTTTTGCTGTTTTTTCTATTGCATAACTATTTATCTAATAATACCGAAAGAATACTTTAATACTATAAAGTATACGATTATCGCTGTTCAGTCATGTGAGAGTTTGAACATTCGGTACAATTGTATACGGTTATCGCTGCTCAGTCACGTGCGAGTTTGATTAGTTTGACAAATCGTTTCTTAAATATATATTTAAGTTAACATTTGAACCAATTGTCATTTAATTTTCTTAGTTTGACGAATCGTTGCTTAAGTATATAAAACCTGCCTTTAAAAGCATAACCGTTGTTTCTAAAGTATATTAAACCCGTGTTTTAAAACATAACCGTTTATTGACTCCGTCCTATAAAAAAAACATTCATTTTTCTCATCTTTCATCTCCAATCTAACTAAAAATAACGAATGACTCCATGTGATAGGGTTTCTGAACTTCAGAAGACAAACGGCGGGCAACGTATTTGTGTCCAAGTAGTTAGAAATTCTTATGATTTTACTCTCATTGGTTGCCCTAATCGGATGTTAGTTCTTGCTGATGAATTTGTAAGTTTATTAGTTTTTAAAAGATTATTCCTATACATGTTTTGGGAATGTAATCGTTTATTGATTCTTTTTTACTAAAACTGTGTAGGGCAATCGCATTCTGTGTACCATTCCATTTGAAATAATTGATAAATTCGAGTATGTATTGCTCGAAGGAGAGTGGTATTTTCTTGGTAATTTTGCAGTTACTGACAGATTACCCCATCCAAGTATATCATCAAACAACTGTCATATACGTTTCAACAAGGAGACAATCACTGAGAAAACCGATCCGAAGTCTTCCAGAGAAATATACTCTTTCTGTGCATTCATAGATATTTTGCTTGCGTCGATTCAAACAGACCGATATCTTGGTAAGTTTCTTACATGCATGTTATTATCTTGGTTTATCTCATTAACTGAGAAATGATTTTTTCTAACTTAGTTGTTTAATTTTGCAGTTGATCTTCTCGGGGTTGTCACTTTTGTTCAGAAACTTCAAAGAGGAGTTCATATGTCCGATACGTCGGATACACCCACAGAACGTCCACTCATTCGTTTTGTACTTGAAGATCTCGGGTAAGTACAACTTATCTTCAGAATATATGGTGTCAGACTTGGGTTTCTTGATATATTAAAATATGTTAATTATCTTCTATGTTGGTGTAAATATATACAGTGGAAATTCCTTGAAATGTATTGCTTGGGATAACTTGGCAATGAAATTTGAAGAACTTTGGACGAATCATGATAGGTCTTCAAGGCATATTATTGTATTGCGATTTTTCTCTTTCAATAGGTGGAGAGGTACGTAAATATTAACTATTAACATCTATTCAATACAGCAATTAATCAGAAGTTTAACAAATTTATTGTTTCCACTTGCGTACTGAATATGTATATGTAACTAGATGAGTGGATAGTTGAATCAGAAAGATTCATATCTGATATTCTCGAGGATCCTCCTACTCCAGAAGTGGCAATAGCAAATGAGGTATGTAAATCCCATCTTTGATGTTATATCCTGTATATGTATTCTATTGACATTTATTTTTTATGATTTTATAATATTGTCATATTGTTTCAGGCTTGAAACTTCAGTTGATTTTACCCCTTTGGATGATGGATATGAAGATCAGTATCCGTAGGAGATATTAATTTAAAATGTCGTTTTCTATAAGTTGTGTACTTGAACAACATAGCTATTGTTTATTTTTATTGTAATAAACAAATTATTCAATATCTATAAACTTCACATGTTTCGCAAAGCATCTCATTTTAGCGTATTTTTATTTATTTACAAATAGTGACACTTTATGTTTTCAATGCAAAATTGTGTTCATAGTCCATTGATACCGTTGTTGATTTAAAAGTATTACAATATTTTACTAGGAAAAATAAATATGTATATATAATAAACATATATTTTAAAAATGGAAGAAAATAAGGTATACTAAAAGAATAATATGATATAGTACCATCATTTATTGAATCAAATGATGAAAACATAAATAAAAAAGAAAACCAAACATACAAAAAAAACTATTCAAAAACTTAATATAACACCGTCGTTTGATTCTGTGATTGTGGTCCGCATTCTCTCGACTTCGGGTAGGTTAGGGTTTAATAAAATTTTGGTACTATCGTATGCGGTTATGGCTGCCCAACAATGTGCGAATTTGAACAGTTTGACGAATCGTATAACACAAATGTTAATTTTGTGTTCTTTCCGTGATAAAGCAGTCATCAGGTCCAGTGCATAGTCGTTCCGTAATAACACTTGCAACCTAGTGATTCCATAATAATCACATAATGTAGTCAAAATTGATAATTACAGTGATTGCAGTTGAGAAACATATTTTAAAAACTTACGATTCGTTACGGAGCTCCACGTAAACATCACCCCACTTTCTTTGGCTCTTAGAGGATTTGTGACTAAATGTTCCAATCACTGCGACGTATCCAATTATATCTAATAAAAAGATTAGTTAGTCATTGAGAAAGTTTATAGATATAAAATAAGTATATTTTTGTGTTATTATTTATTAATTTATATAAAGTCATACCAACGAAAAACAATGGGTCTCGGAGATTGTTGTGTATGTTACCAAATTCAACAATATTTAGGTAGTTGTTGTTATCATAGAAAGGGATCTTTGAAAAATAAGTTTGAGAATTCCATATTATTTTATAATTGTGCAACGTCGGTCTCAAGTCTCCGATGACAGGGACGACACCAAAATGATACAGAATAATTGAACCTCCCTGCTTCAATTCGGATGTAAAACTGTCTATAAACCCTTTTGATATGGATCCATGTATTTTATCACCCTATAAAAACAAAAATATGTATATCAGAGAAGTGATATGCACGGAATATATATAGAGTCACCATAATACCTTTTTATCAACCAACACCAAATCTAGAGTGTTTTCAGGTTCACCGATGTGCTCGAAAATACGGGATGAGAGGAATTACAATCGCGAAACTCTTAGAGTTAGAAACGAGCAGATGTTAGCCACTGTAACCAGCGAACAGAGAAGTGTTTATGATGAGATCCTAGAAGCAGTAAATAAGAACAAAGGAGGTATGTTCTTTGTTTATGGTTCTGGAAGTACTAGTAAAACTTATTTGTGGAGTCTATTAGGATCTGCTCTACGTTCCCAAGGTGATGTTGTTCTTAAGGTTGCATCGAACGGGATTGCTGCGTTTCTATTAGAAGGAGGCCGAACTGCGCATTCAAGATTTGCAATCCCTATGGTGGTTAATAAGTTTACCTTCTGTTCAATCAAGAAGGTGTCGAATCTTGCCGACCTGATAAGGATTGCTAAACTCATTATATGGGATGAGGCGTTGATGATGAGTAAAGACTGTTTCGAGACTCTAGATAGAACGATGCGTGATATATTAGAAGTTGATAAGCCCTTTGGTGACAAGGTCATTGTTTTGGGAGGGGATTTCAGGCAAATATTGCCAGTGATTCCAAATGCTGGGAAGACAGAGATACTTATGGCCACTTTGAATTCGTCACCTCTGTGGTACAAATGTAGAGTGTTGAGGCTTACACAGAACATGCGACTTATAGCTGGAGATAATAGCCGTGCGATGCTTGAACGAGCTGCCTTTACAAAGTGGATCTTAGACATTGGTGATGGAACGATAAATGATGATGGAAGTGGTGAAGCCGTGATTGATATTCCTGATGATCTGTTGATTAAAGACTGTAAAGATCCTATAAAAACGATCGTCAAAGAAATTTATGGGAGTTCGTTTTCGAAAGAGACTGATCCTAAATTTTTCCAAGACCGTGCCATACTGAGTCCAAGAAACGATGATGTAGATACGATAAATGATTACATGCTTTCAAAGATTTCGGGTATGTTTATTTTGTTTTAGTTCCTCTTAACTTATTTGTTTATATTTATATAATACAACGATTGTTTTGTATATAACAGGTGTTGAAAAGACCTATCTTAGTTGTGATAGCATTGATACGGCTGAAGAAGTTGTCAATTACAGTGATGCATCTGAAGTACCCTCGGAGAGTGTAGCCAGTAAGAATAAAGGTGGTTCCAACAATATGATTTATACCGAGGAGTTTTTAAATAGTATCAAGATGTCTGGTTTCCCTAATCATGTCCTGAAGTTGAGAGAGGGTACTCCTAAGAAATATCGACCCTAAGAATGGGTTGTGTAATGGCACAAGACTCATCATTACTAAGATGGCTAATTATGTTCTCCAGGCTTAGATAATAACAGGTAGCAAGGTTGGTGAGAAAGTACAGATTCCTAGAATATTCTTCTTTCCTTCGGAGATGAAACTTCCTTTGAGGATGAGACGCAAGCAGTTTCCTATCACATTAGCTTTTGCATTGACTATAAACAAAAGCCAAGGACAGACACTCGAAAAGGTTGGTTTGTATCTTCCAAGGCCGGTATTTACTCATGGACAAATCTATGTCGCTGTGTCGAGGGTTACATCCAGAGAAGGTTTGAAGATATTGATCACCGATAAAGACAACAAACCACAAAGCAAAACATTGAATGTCGTCTACAAGGAGGTTTTTGACAAGATATGATAGTTTTTTTTACTGTGTTTTGTTTTGTGGTTTGTTATCTCTATATACCTCGAAATATGTTAGTTTTTTTATTATATAAGACCATTATTTTTGGTTTTATAGGTTTTACCAATAGATTTGATGTTTTTCGATTTTTCACTAAGTTGGATCTGATGTATTAAGTTTTATAAAAAGAGAATAAAACATTTTTGTTGAGAAAATAATTTTATATCATGTATTAAGTTTAGATTATCTATTATCGTAAATGGGTTTGTAAAGCTCATATATTACATTATATTTGATTGGTTTACACCAAAAGAATGTTACTAATGGATATGAGTATCGACTATTATTTTTATTGAACCCAAATATTGTATATAAATTGGAAGTTGTATAGATAGTCGGTTTTATCAATCTGATTCGTTTTTTTCATATATATATTTTACTCCACCATGTATAATTAAGCAGGTTTCTTAATGTTTTCTTTTATTAATGGTTTGATCTCTGACGTTTAACTATAGTCGGATATTCCAATGACAAACTCAATTCGATAATATATTTTAACGAAACTTAAATTGTAGCATAATATTGGGCATCTATTGACATTTCATGTGATGAACATTGTCATGTAGTTATAAATATCGAGAATGCTCCAAAACCAAATTATCATGTCATCGAAATAAACTTAATAGTTTTTAGAAAATTAAACCAAGTACATACTGTCTTTCAAGTGGTCATTGCAAACAGGAAAAAAAAACATGACATTGAAACTGATATGGTTCTTGATTAAACTCCAGATCTCCTCTTTTTACGTTCCTTCTCCTCTCCCTTTAAGCACAGACACAAACAATCCAATTTAAATTATTGTAAAATTATATAGCTTTAAACTAACTCAATATTATATTTAAACATGAATTGTTTCTAAAACATAGAGTTCAATGGGCAATCAATAACAAAACATAATGACTCAATAACATACATTTTAGAAAACTTTTCATTATTAATCTAAATATATTTCTGATTACGTACCCATTCGGCGGTATCCATGTGTCGAATTTCTGTCTCCACAAAACCGCAACGCATGCACTTCAACCCTATCTCCATATCTAGAATCAGATCGTGTTTTCGTTTTGTGCAACTTGCTTGGTGTGTCTCATTAGATGTGTTTCTTTTGTCATCCTCCATAAATAGAATATACAGATTTTACAATTCATTGTGTAAGACATGATTAAAATAAACTTTAGTGAATAGGATATATGACCTGAGGAGTGTTCTGTTTGGCTTTCTGATTTGATGCAGTGAGTAAATGTATTGTTCCCATAATTCTTCTTGCTCTATCTCGGAATCTGTTGGTGAAGGTGGTGACTTAGGTTCCACGACACCGAATCTCATTACCAATGGTGGGGGATTGATGATCAACAAGCCATTTTTATCGAATTTTTTTTCGTTTGTGTTCGCCATGTTCTTATGAATGCTCTCACAAACGATAAGGCTACTTATAAAATATTTTAAAGTTTTTTGAAAAGAAACCCTCAAGTGAGTATTTATAAGGTGTGCAATAATAATCAATTTTCTCATTTTTCAATTTCTTTATGGGGAAGATTATGGGACTTTATGTTTGCACCTAACCATTTGACTTTCCAGGTTTCCTGTTTCATATAATTTTAAGGAAAATTGCCCAAGTAGATACATAAAGTTATAACATATAAGTCTACATAAATGTTATTTTTGTTATGATGTTATATGAATATATCATTTCCTAAAATATTGAAACATAAAATTGTCCAAATAACATAAGCTATAGAGAGAGATCATATTATTTTATGGAAAGTGTTGCAATTTAGCAAAGTTGTATATTTAGTAAAATAGTATATTTATTTATTGAGGTTGCGTGTATCTTTGGTGAAACTTAAAACCTGGAATATATTCTCTCTGGCACGTGAACGAACAAATCGGTCAATATCGATATAGAAGTGTCTTGACATAAATTTGTGGGATTGTTGTTGGTTTTGACAATAAGGGGCTTTAAATGGTAACTGTTCAAATTTTTTCTTTTAAAATAATTCAAACGAAAATAAATTTATAAGAAAGAATAACTGCGTATTCAACTGCATAGTCTGTCCTTTTCATATTTAACACACTTTTTCATAGTTTGTCACTTTTAGTTTTCCTCTTTATAAAACTCATTCAGAGTTCTCGATCAAAAAAAGAAAAAAAAAAGTTTCTAAAATGTCTGATGTTGTCGATGTTGCATGTTTGGATACTTACAAAACAGGGTGGTTAATATCTGTCAAGGTGGTCAGGCTCTGGAAGCATTCCACATTCTTCGGATATACTATCGAGATGGTTCTGTCTGATATCAAAGTATGTGTCTTTTTTTGAAGTTATTCTTTTATGTTTTCTATTTATTATTCACTGATTGTTTTTGGCTATGTTATTTTTCTAGGGTACTCGGATCGCTGCAACCATTATGCCAAACGAGTTTCCCACTCGCTGGAAAGAAATCAAACAGGGACAGTGGATTCAGATTTTCAACTTTCATATTAAAGAAGCAACTGGATCAATGCTTACAACGATCAATAAACATCGTTTGCAGTTAACTTCTGTCACTATTATCACCCCTATTCGAACGAGGTCGTACAATTTGTATCTCCACTGCTTCCGATTTTATGATATTGTGGATCGAGCCATTCCTTTTGACTATCTGATTGGTAAGAATTTCATCTTTAACTTTTTATAAGAATTAATCAAGTTTATCGGTGTGCATGATAATTTTTAAACATATATGCTAAGTTTTATAATAGATTTAAATTCAATTTATTATTTCGTTTATTATCAGACGTTATGGGAACTATTGTGAATATGGGTCCACTCTGCAATGCAAGTAATGATGCTTATGAAGAGAATCTCGCTTATCTCCGATTTGAGATAGTAGATGCACTGTATTATGAATCATGTCCATTGATTTATATGTAAAAGACTGTTAACATATAAAGTCTTAACCAAATATTTTGTTTTTCGTATTATTTTTTCTTGTGGCAGAAGAGATGGCCGGTTAGCATGTTACGCCCGTGGTTCTCTAGCAATAAATCTCCATGATGTATATCTGAGAAACACATGTGAATCGGTTGTTTGGGTGTTAAGGTTCTGGAAGATGACAAATGGCAAAGGTATATACAAATTTTCTCATATATGTCTTAAAATCTGAATGTTGAATAAAACTTTTGTCTATTGTTGTTTAGGAATCGATAAGAAGTCTGTGATTCTCCGATCTAATGATCTATGTTCAGATTTTTTGTACAATCCTGTCGATGCAGAAGTTGATGCATTTAGAGCGACGTGAGTATTTAAAATTTTGGATTCTATATATTGTTGTTTCAATGTTTATTAAAACGTTTTGGTAATGACTTTTTATCACTTTCGTAGGCGGAACCAACTACGGACGAGAGCATCGACTGCTTGATGTTATTTGTAGACCTCCTCTATTCTGCCTCTTTATTTTCACTGTTTCTTCTTTGTGTTCTCGAACTCATTAATTAGTAATTTTATGCCTGTTTTTAAAACTAAGATCAGTGCTTTTGTTTAATACTTTCTTATTGTTTATATATTAATTTTGTAATGTATTGTCAAACTATATTTATGAACTATATGTGTTTTATATTAGCTCATATTGTTAGGTTCGATGTCAGACTATGTCCTTTTTATAAGATTTCCGTGGCTTCTGTTATGGAAAATATTTTCATTATTTTTGGTATAGTCAGAGTAATTGTCTAAAGTAAACATACTATAAATCAGGATAATTGCCTAAGGTAAACATATTAGGAAATATATATACTTCGAATATTTGTCACAGGAAAACTTACTGACTGTCGTCATAAATTTTCAATAGGCTTCTAACTATAATTGTCTTTTCCAAGACCTCATAAAAAACTTTAATGATCTTGATAGTAAAGATATTCTACGATATGGACCCAATCGTGTTTAGTCTTGATGTTTTTTCACGAATATCGAAATCAGTAATATTTTTGTAGAGATTTATATTCGTTTAATGTTTAGATGTTTATTTGCTTTATAATATCTGGTATACCTATATCAATAATATAAAGTCGTGATGGATTAATGGGTCCAATATATCTACATTTTAGATACCTTAATAACCAAATTGTATTCGGATATCGAAATAATAATAATAAAAAATTATACAATCATGAATTCCTTAATTTAACAATGATTTATCGGTATGAAAACATTAATATATATATATATATATGTTTTGTCTTCGAATTAAAACAAATTTTTAAATCATATAGAAAGAAGATATACATATATAGATTGTGTTTTGTTATATTTTTAAAAAATTATAAAGTTATAGATAATTTGTTTTTAGTGGTTGTGATCATATTGTGTTTATATTTAATATATATATATATATAACGGATAATGAAAATCATTTTAAAAGACTCGGTTCATGTAAACGGTTTCTAATGAACCGTCATCATTATGCGTAATAATATTTTAAAAAACGTTACGTGTATATATAGATGATCTGATAAAGACTCGATGCAACAGAACATAACTACTTTCTGATATTTTATTCTCTCTAAATGTCTGACAAACATGGGTAGTTATGATTTGGTTCATGAGATGAATGGATGGAGAGATGACTGGAGGATTGTGGTTAAAGTATTGAAAAAGTGGAGCGTGAACGATCCACAGGGATTACTAGGTCTTGGCTTCATTATGACCGATGAGAACATTAGTTTTATTATAAACTAAACTTTTTAGTATTAAATCTCTGATTCTGTATATTTCTTTATTGTTTCTATAATTTCTATATTTTTCTCTTATATTGTAGGGATGCCGAATTCAGGAAATTGTTCACAATCAAATGTTCAAGTATTTCGAACGAGTTTGCCATGAAGGTCACTGGATTATGTTATCTCGGTTTAGTCTCAACCGATTGCTCAGTAATGATTGCGATAAGATAACTAGACACGATTTTATAATTACTCTGACTGACG